TTTTAGTATCTTCAAAGCCTATTTCAATTGTCTGTGGAACTGACTAGGGAGATAGCACCTTTAAAAAAAAAAAAAAAGAAGATTCTGGATAGATGGGACATTGATGAGGCAGGTGATTTTGATTGCCCTGTTCACCAGTGTGTCCTCCCAATCTCCTGTTGTACCTGGCACCTAGTAGATTCTCAACTTAAATTTATTGAATGATTCGTTGAATCCTATCCTCCACCTTGATAAATGTTGTGTATTAGTTTGTTATGATTTCAACATGGCTCAGGCAAAGTTGCTTTGATCTAAGGAATGAATTTCTTTACACTGAGGAAGCCTTGTCAGGACAAAGCCATCATAATGTGCTACTAAATGCTTTTGATAGGAACATATGATGTAATGGACGTTTAAAGTTTAAAAAGTAAGACTTTGTGAGGACTTAAAGAAAATTGTTCAAGCTAGCTGCAAATTGGCAAAGCTGCTCTTTGCTGACCTATATAGCTCACTTAAGACCCTGGGACAATACCTCCTGCCATGACAAGGCTGCTTCTTGGTGGCAGTGGTGAAAACAGTGTGGCAGCCCCATGAAAGAAATCATCTTGCCCACCAACACTCGTGCCTTTTCTCTGCCAGCATTGTGCTCTAGCAACAAGGGCCTTTCAACTTGTGCTGACAGCTACACATCAGCTCTTGGTGACTAAGCTAACTCTTCTGATAACCAACCCATAGAAATGCATACCTTCACTAAATCTGGACTTCATTTCTTCCATCTCCCCTTTGCCTAAAACAAGAGTGTAATTAATCTATCATTGGTTTGGAGTTTTTATTTCTTTATCGGTTTATTAAGAGTCATGATCCTGTATGCCACTGGCTTGTGAAATATTGTTATTATAAATTATAAATCCCACAGTAAACCTGCCTTAAATTTTTTTTTTCAACGTTTTTATTTATTTTTGGGACAGAGAGAGACAGAGCATGAACGGGGGAGGGGCAGAGAGAGAGAGAGACACAGAATCCGAAACAGGCTCCAGGCTCTGAGCCATCAGCCCAGAGCCTGATGCGGGGCTCGAACTCACGGACCGCGAGATCGTGACCTGGCTGAAGTCGGACGCTTAACCGACTGCGCCACCCAGGCGCCCCAAAACCTGCCTTAAATAAATGATTAGTCTCTGAGCATAATTTGCCATGAACAACATAATAAATAACCTGGGTAACAAATTGGAAGACAAGTTTTATATACTGAGATTTTGGATTCCTCAGAGTTTCAGAACAGTGTGGGAACCCCTGGCCCATGGCCTATTCTCTCATGATGGATGACAAACACTTGTATGTGAACATCCCAGAATGCTTGTCCCAGCTCTGTCTGCATATCTAGAAAAAGTCACTCTGGATTACCTTGTCATGTCTAGTAGTCTACACTCCTGCATAGGTTGGCCTTCTGGAGGACCCGACCAGGAAAGAGGCCCATGAAGGTCTTGCAAGTAGTCTCAGAGCTTTTCTGATTGGGATTCTGAAATATGCAAAACATGGCTGGGTGTGACAGGAGTTCTGCATAGGCAGTTCCCTTGGATCAAGAGCTCACCCTCAGGGACAAAACTGCTCTTTCTAGCCATATAATTAATTGTTAGAGGAGGTTATTGGGAGGATGTTTCACTGGATGACTCTTGAGCTAGACTAAGGCAATCAGAGTCTCCTTACCTTCTCCCTGTCCTTGGAATATATAATCTGCTACTATTCTCATACTAGCAGCTGTTTTAAGGATGAAACCTTTGAAGAATAAGGTGTTAAGACCATTTGGACTGAATACGTGACTGAACCCTGTTAAGACCTCTATAAACTCTTAAATACTGAGAACAAACTGAGGGTTCATGGGGCATGGGGGAGAGGGGGAAGTGGGTGATAGGCATTGAGGAGGGCACTTGTTGGGATGAGCACTGGGAGTTGTATGGAAACCAATTTGACAATAAATTATATTAAAAAAGAAAGAGATGCAGGGGTGCCTGGGTGGCTCAATCAAGTAAGCGTCCGACTTTGGCTCAGGTCATGATCTCATGGTTAGTGAGTTCGAGCCCCACATTGGGGTTTCTGCTGTCAGCACAGAGCCCGCTTCGGATCCTCCACCCCCCTGTGTCTGCCCACCCCCCTGCTCACACTCCCTTTCTTTCTCTCTCTCAAAAATAAACAAACATTAAAGAAAGAAAGAGCTCTATATAAACTTTTAAGATTTTAGCAGGCAGGAATAGAGATCTGCTGATATTGAGGCTGGCCAAGGCCTTCTATGTAAGTTTCTTGGCTTTTGAAAACTACCACCCACTGGGACATCTGGGTGGTTCAGTCTATTGCATGTCATGATCTCATGGTTCCTGAGTTCAAGCCCCACATCTGGCTCACGGTTATCAGCACAGAGCCTTCTTGGAATCCTCTGTCCCCCTCTATGTGCCCCTCCCCGGGTTCTTTGCTCTTTGAAAAAATATTTTTTTTTAAACTTAAAAAATAAAAAAAGAAAAAGAAACCTACCACCCACCAATATAGGGTGATTTGCCACTTTTTTGATTTCTCCTAACTCTTCACATACAGGGGACAATTAAAGAACTAACAATAATCTCAAATTGAAAAAAAATGGGTTTTAAGATCTGATAATGTATAGTCATTTCAAAAATGTAGGCTTTTGGGGCATGTGGGTGGCTGAGTCCCTTAAGCGGCCAAATATTGATTTTGGCTCAGGTCATGATCTCTTGGTTGTGGGATCGAGCCCTATGTCAGGCTCTGAGCTGATAGCATGGATCCTGCTTGGGATTCTCTGTTTCCCGTTCTCTCTCCCCCTCCCTCCCTCTCTTTAAAAAAAAAAAAAAAGTTTGTAAAAACTGTAGGCATTTGACATTTCTTTTCATTATTTATATTAATGCTGTTGTGAAGTGACCTAATGTTCTATGTTACAGATTAACTAATAATTTGAAGTATTCCAAATAGGAGACAATTTTAAAGTTATTAAATCATAGTTCTAATCCTATCATAATTAAAGTCAAAAGTAGATTAAAATTAAAGGCCTATATCTTCAAAAGACTCAGTTACATGGTAATTCATAGATGCTCACTGTGTAGAGGGAAATACTATTAAAATGGTGAATTCAATAATATACTAATTTGAGCTGCTTCTTCAGCTTTTATTTAAAATTAGAATGTTTAACAATTTCTTCATCTGTTCATAGTTTATATGTGAATTTTTATTAGAGTGATCAATTCATTTTACATATTAATAATAAATATAAAAGAAAAAGTCACTTCAACCAAATTTATAGAAGTGATACAGGAAAGATTATCTTTAGTCTAAACTTAAATTTGATTACAGACAATTTCAAGAGAAAATGCTACACTTAATCAAATTGAAGTATATTATATATTTTTTGGAACGTTCTTGGTAAGAATTTATAGAAGCTTGGTAGCATAGGTGGCAAACCATATTCCAGTGTCTGGGTTTTTTAAAAAAAGTTGTTTCTTTTAACTAGATTTTTTAAAAAAAATTTAGTAGCTTTCCAGTTGACGTACAGTGTTATGTTAGTTTTAGTTGTGTAATATAGTGATTCTATAGTTCTATACATTATGCAGTACTCACCATGATGAATGTAGTTACTATCTGTTGTAAGGCAAAGTTTTACAATATTATTGACTATATTCCCTATGCTGTAGCTTCATCCCTGCAATTTATTTATTTTATAACTAGAAGTTTCACCCTTCCCCCTCCCACCGCCCCCCCCACCCCACCCCCGCTGCTGGCAACCACTAGTTTGTTTTCTGTATTTATGAATCCTTTTTTGTTTTTGTTTCTTTTTTTTTTATTTTGTTTTTTGGATTCCACATATAAATGGAATCATGTAGCATTTCTCTTTCTCTGTATAACTTATTTCATTAAGCATCATACCCTCTAGGTCCATCTGTGTTGGCATAAATGGCAAGATCTCAGATGGCACTGTAATATCCTATTGTATGTATTTACCACGTCTCCTTTATCCTTTCATCTATTGATGGACACGTGGATTGTTTCCTTATCTCAGCTATTGAAAATAATGCTGTAATAAACAAAGGGGTACTTACATCTTTTCAGATTAGTGTTTTCATTTTCTTTGGTAAGTACCTAGCAGTAGGTGTACTAGATCGTATGGCATTTCTATTTTCAATTTTTTGAGGAAATTCCATACTGTTTTTTTACAGTGGCACCAATTTATATTCTCACCAACAGTGCATGAGGGTTCACTTTCTCTATATCCTCACCAATACCTGTTATCTCTTGTCTTTTTGATACTAGCTTTCTGACTGGTGTAATGTGACATCTCATTGTGGTATCTAAGTTTTTACACATTATTTCTAGGGAAAGATTATTCCCTTACATCTTTAGAGTTATAGTTTATATTACTACAAGAATTATTGACATTCTTTGAGAATCCAATTTGTGATCCTAAGTATAACATCTAAAAACATAAGAGTATAAGTCTGTGTGCAAAAGAGAGAAGAAGGGAATAAAGAGAAATAAAGACAGTAGTTAGCCAGAAGCAACTTTGATCTAAGGCAGTAGGCATTTCTGCCGTCCCCTTTAAACTTTATACCTTTTAAACTTCCTTTAAAAAGCACCCTTCTTGTGCTCTTCATTAAGATTTGGAAATGACAGTCACAGAAAATAAGTTGTAGTTTTGTCATATTTATGTTGTATGGTTTCTATGAAAGTATTTTAAGAGACAAAAAAAAAAAAAAAAAGAAGAAAAAAGGAATGGCATCCTAAATTCCATGAAATCAAGAGTGCAAATAGCTGGCATCCATGATAACTGTGAAACGAAAGGAAATATAGAACATTTTGATACCAAGGAAATTGAGCCTTTTAAAAGGTCTGATAGAACTGTGAGAAAAAAAGGAGAAAGACTTTTATTTTTATATATGAATACATTAATTTTTAAATGTTACCTAAAATGTTTTATAATTTTACATTTAAAAGTGGTATAATCATTGTAAATTTTATTTTTCCAGTTTGTTTTCCAGAAGCATCGAACTGACCACATACATTTATATCTGGGAGAACTACAGGCTCATCATTTTGCCTTGGGATTCTCCATGGACTTGGTATTTAACTTTCTTAGGAGTTGATTTTGGCTACTACTGGTTCCATCGCATGGCCCATGGTAAGTTGCAAATCACGGTTTTATTGTTAATTTAGGGATAATTTATGCTGAACTGTGTTGGGCTCATAGCAGGTATTCAATAAATATTGAATGAATGAATAAGTGAAAAATATGGTTTGTCTTAAAGTATATAAAGATTAATGATGAAAGTTTAGTTTGAAATTTAAATGGAAAAAATCTGAATTTTTTTTAAAAGGTGAAATTATTAGAGATACATTTTTCACACCTCTTGTACCTAACTTGCAAAAAAACTGTTGAGAATGTGATGGCTGTAGCTTTACTTTTTAATATACCACCTTACATTTTTCTTATTATGACATGATTGGTAGAGTCTAGAGACTCTCACACACAGTATCAGACTTCATGTCACAATTATCAATGTTCATTCAGAAAAGCTCTGAAACAGCATGGAATCCTGGGTAATGTGTGCTGTCATACATAAGAGTGATTCAAGTTCTTGGCAGTAATTCCTCACTGCAAATGAAAATGCAATCATCTAGGCACTAACCATAATGCATTTCAGTATTACCACAGTTTTGTAAAATTTCTTATCTAATACAAAGCCCTCTTACCACACTGGCCCACTGAATTTGGTTTTTGGGATTACTGGCTGAACTTTCCAAACAATGTTTTGTTATGGAAAGGGAAATGGAAGGTCAGGAAACAGTCTTAAACTATGTAGGACTAAGTAGAGGTTGGAGAATGATTGTAGAGCTAAGGTGAGCAAATAGTCTTTAAGGAGGAAGAAGGCATGCAAACGTATTTCTGAAGGGAAATGGGGGAATGTGCTAATTTTGAAAACCTACTGAAGAGTAGAACTGAGGATTTCAGTGGGTGGTTGGGTTGAGTGTGTAGGGAGGAAGGAAGGAAGGGGAAGAAACCTGGGATAATAATAAAAATTAATTGGGGGATGGCAAGAAGAGGCCTGAGATCAGGGTGAATAACCAAGCAATGTGTGTAGGAGGATGGTGACCAAATATCCTTCCCAAGCAAGGATGAGGAAATAGGAGTGACATAGATTAGCATTATGTTTAAGGCATGAAATTTTAAATGCAGCATTATTTTTGTTAGGTACATTAACCATGCGTAAACAGTGAAACTATAAAGAATGTTAATTCATTAAAACAATTTGAAAGGAACAAATAAACTAGAAAAAATTATTTATTTTGTGTGTGATAACCTTTGTCTTTGAAAATAATATGTCAGTGCCTGACATCATTTCCTTGTGTATAAAGCAAGAGGATACTCCCACATTGAACATGACTAGGAATAAAATATGGTCATGTAGTAATCTTTGTATTTTATTTCAAAATAGTAGTTTTCTCCCTAAAATAAACCCATTGGCAATCTTCCTCATTTTCTATGCAGCAAATGGGTAATGCAGAAAGCATTTATATTGTATTATTTAATTTCAGGAGCCTTCTAATATCACACTGTCCTGTACAGATGTGTTTGTTTGGGAAATCTGCAAATTCGCTTAATCTTTAAAAGCCCATTATAACAGGAAACAAAGAACCAACAAAATATTACCAAATATAAAACTTCTAAAAATATGTTGATATTAAGTGCTCCAGTTAAGGAAGAGCAATAAAGTAAAATAATATATAAAATACACAGAATCGAGGCTGTGTAAAGTATGCTTCCCATTAGAAAATTTTGAACCAAATCCAGTGGAAGCAGGCATTAAAAAAAATCTAAAAACCTTCTGGAAAAACACTCACCACCTTCAGGCTATGAAGTCTAATCATAAGTTCAAAGATCTTTGACTTGTGATGGAAAGCTCATAGGAAAAAAAATAAATTAGTAGTTGAAAGTGTCAACCTTCAGTATGGTAGTCAAATTTAAAATTTTTGTGATAATAATGTAAAATATTAAATGGATTTTTAGAAATCTAGAAGTACACAGGAGTAAGAAAAACTTTTAATATCAAATTTCTTGAGCCTCTTGGGTTACTGAACCAATGTTAGTTAATTAGTCAAGTTTATTTAACTGAGAAGTTTGAACAGTTCTAAAATCCTAATGTTGTCCTAAAATATAATAAGGAAAATACCCTCTTTTCCTACTTAATGTGTTACTTTCCTTTCACTACTTGCAGTTAAATAATAAAATAAAAACACATTCCACATTTGTTGATATGTTAAATGCTATGAGTTTTGAAGAAACAATTTATACTTTTTGTTTTTACATATACTTACATTATTTCTTTAGTAACCCAAATTGCCGCTAGGTTTTTTGCTGTTGTTTTCTTGTTGTTATTTGTTTGGTTTGCATCCATGTAGAATTTTCTCACATTAAAGTTATGGAAGGAGTTTTGGGGCGCCTGGGTGGCGCAGTCGGTTAAGCGTCCGACTTCAGCCAGGTCACGATCTCACGGTCTGTGAGTTCGAGCCCCGCGTCAGGCTCTGGGCTGATGTCTCAGAGCCTGGAGCCTGTTTCCGATTCTGTGTCTCCCTCTCACTCTGCCCCTCCTCCGTTCATGCTCTGTCTCTCTCTGTCCCAAAAATAAATAAACGTTGAAAAAAAAAATTAAAAAAAAAAAAGTTATGGAAGGAGTTTATTCTCAAAAACTTGATTTTGATCTCTATTCCTGTACAAAAGAACAGGAGGATATTTGAGTCTATTGTGTTATTTATATTTCATTCCCTTTTCCTCTGGGATCATTAGAAATTCATTGCTAATTATTGCCAACTTACAGAAAAACAAGAGTAACACAGTAATTTCTATAGAATGCCTTGACATCTTAAGAAGGAAATGTAAGGGGCGCCTGGGTGGCGCAGTCGGTTAAGCGTCCGACTTCAGCCAGGTCACGATCTCGCGGTCCGGGAGTTCGAGCCCCGCGTCAGGCTCTGGGCTGATGGCTCAGAGCCTGGAGCCTGTTTCCGATTCTGTCTCCCTCTCTCTCTGCCCCTCCCCCGTTCATGCTCTGTCTCTCTCTGTCCCAAAAATAAATAAACGTTGAAAAAAAAAATTAAAAAAAAAAAAAAAAAAGAAGGAAATGTAAAAAGACAAAATGAAATTCATCTCAAATTTAAAGTAGCTTCTGGCATGCTTAGTCTCCAATACAAAAGGATGCATTATTTTTTCCTTGAATTTCCTATGAGTTATACTAAACATGTAAGAAATCGGGTGAAGATTTTTAAGGGAACATTAAAATCATTACAGTGTAAATTATTACTATTTAGTAAGAGTAAGAATGAGTCTTCCAGAGTGCTAGTAGTAGATTTTATCTCATCTTGGGTGATAGTTGCAAGAGTGTATGTGTTTGTAAGAAATATGTTGAGTTGTGTACTTAAAGTTTGCATACATTTTTCTTCAAAAAAAGTTAATGAGTAATGCCACCTATATGATTTCTTAGTGAGTAGCTTGAAGTCAGAATTAGACAAAAGGTAACCCAATTTAGAAAATAAGAACCAAGAAATTATCATTTGTAACTATAAGCATAAACATGTCACATTACACAGATTTTATCTGTATCAGTTTCCACAACCAAGGATGGCGGAAAAACAAGAAACCAGTTATTAATTTTATTGCCCCTCTTCTCCAAACCCTTCTTTGGTATCTCTTGTGTTACCAGAGGTCGACCCTACAGATATTTGCAAGCTTACTTGGTATTAGACTTTGTCAGTTTAAAAGATTGGAGGGATACTCCAGGGCCAGAATAGCAGGGGCTTTGCTTCCATTTTTCAGAGTGCTCTTTTCCATGAGGTACTTAGCAGATGGGTGCCCAGGGAACCTGGTAGTAACCATGGTTTAGCTGTAGCCTATACCTTTTGGTAAGATCCTCTGTCTTCCAAAGGACCACATCAGAGGATTCCCTGTAACACACACCCTCTGGGGGCTGTGTAATCTAGGAAGTTCCTCTGTTCCCACCAGAGCTCCTGAAGTAGCCATAGCTTCTCCAAAGATGTCTGACTCAGACTTGGTGGAGGATGGGAGGGGGTTTTCTAAATTCATACATGCCTGCATTTTTTACTCTGCCTCAGGTGCTTAGGCAATAGTTTTGTTCCCTAGTTGCTACTTCTGTACCACTGAACTACTCCTCGTTTACCTTTTAGTAGCTAACTGCTTTTTTATTAGTTAATAGTTCTTTACATTAGCTTTTTCTTACTCAAATTACTGGTGTGGTTTTTTTCCTCCTGATTAGACTCTGACTGATAAAGCCAGCTTCCCTACATAGTATATAAGGTTGTAAATTGAAGTTTATCCTGACTCTACCTTTAATATTCTATTCTGTGGCACTGATTGCACATTTAGGCTATAATACAATTTAGTTCATTTCTGAAATAAAGAAGTTCACCTGTAAAATTGTTATAATAAGACTTTATACAATCCCCTCAAACTCCAATTCTTTTACTCAACAAGTAAATTAGTTCATTTTCTATTTATCTCTTTCTGTAGCTAAAAAGGGTGGGTGATCATGATTTTTGTGTAATTATTTAGTCATTCCTACAATTTTATTATGATTAAGTGGGCCTCCCTATATGACTTATTAAATTTCACTTGTTTCCATTCTTTTCTGACTTCTAACAGGGGTTGAATTTAGACCATTTTAATTTCCATCACTGTTTAAATAAAAATAAGCAAGTGTTCATTGCTTAGAAATTATTTTATTTTGTGGTAGTACCAAGTTTGTGGTCTCTATTGAAGAATAAGTGACCTCCATTCGGCTACATTTGTGTTTCTTTTTTTAAAAAGACCAGAATAGAGGTGGCAGGTTAGGTCAGTCAGTTAAACATCCGACTTTGACTCAGATCATGATCTCACGGTTCGTGAGTTCAAGCCCTGTGTTAGACTCTTTGCTGACAGGCTGGAGCCTGGAGCCTGCTTCGGATTCTGTGTCTCCCTCTATCTCTGCCCATTCCCCACTTACACTCTGTCTCTCAAAAATGAATAAACATTAAAATTTTGTTTTAAATAATAAAAATAAAAATACCAGGATATACCTACTTTTTGTAGCTCTTTGCTGTATGTTTCACTATATATTTTTTTTTTAATTTTTT